TAGCATATAACTCCTCTCTCTTTTTCATCAGCTTACACCCAGAGCCTATATTTATTTCTTTAAATCTGGCAGAATTTCTGTGCTGGTGTAAAAGAGCATGGTTTTTATTATTTGTTAATTACCTGAGAGTTATTATTTTTGCATTTTGGTCAGGACACTACAGATTAAATATTTTACTATTCTTTTCCAAGCATCCTCTTTCTTCCTTCCAGACACTGCTAAAAAGCCATAGAGGATAGAAGGGTGAGTAAGAATGAGCTCTTAACCTGAAGGAGTTTATTGTATAATTCTTTACAAGATGGATTTTTGCACAAGCCTCTTAACATCAAGTGATGCTGTGAGACTACATGTAAATCACAAGTGACTTACTCATACACACCCATTTGTCCTTTTAATTACAGATGCATTACCGTTGCCTCTAAATGGCCACCCTTCCCTTCGAAACATTCCTAAGAAATTAAGTAAATATAGTAAATAGCAGTTCTATTTTAGCACCCTTTGTATTTTCCCACTTAAACAACGTGGATAACATTATTATTATTTTAGAAACGAAGCTTCTTAATCTTACTTTATCTACGGAGCACATGGAGCAGACCATAATGTCCATCATTTTAAAATAGGTCACAACCTTTTTTGTTGTTATTGTTGTTGTTATGTGCTGTCAAGTCATTTGCGACTCATAGCGACCCTATGTACAGCAGCCCTAAACCATGCTCTATCCTGTGCCAATCGCATTGCCTCAAACACACCCACCCAATTACCCCAATCACTGAATCAATCTACCTCATAGAGTCTTCCTCTCCTGCACTGTCCCTCCACCCTACCAAGCATGATGTCCCTCTCCAAGGACCTGTCTCTCCTTACAACATGTCCACAGTATGTCAGACGAAGCCCCAGAATCCTTGCCTCCAAGGAGCAGCCTGGTTTAACCCTCTCCAGGATGAATCTGTTTGTTTTCTTGGCAGTCCATGGTACATTCAATACTCTTCTCCAGCACCACAGCTCAAAGGCATCAATTCTCCTTCTATCCTCAACCTTTTTTATTTACAAAAATTTCTTTCCTGTCTTATGAAACTTTGTAGAAACAGTGCAAAAGAAAATACTCCAGTGGCAAATACAGTATACAAGTGTATCTGAAATCTAAAAAAGAGGAGGACATATATCAGCCAGAAGCTGTCAGTCCCAGTCTGCGTCGGATTTATTGTTGAATTTTTTACATATGAAGAAAAATGTTTTACTTGATAGGTTAGGGAAGAGGAATTATGAGTGGGGGTTTGAGACTGACTGCACCATCACGTGCAGCCTTTGTTTCATTGAGCCTTTGTCCCCTCTCAGTTAGATCTTAAGAAAATAGAAAAGATTCTTCCTCAGTTCATTTCTCTAATTTGTTTTGTAGTGTGTCTGGTTGCTGTTGTTATGTGCTGTTGAATCTACTCCTGACTCATAGCAACTCTACACACAACAGCTCTAAACCCTGCTCTATCCTGAGCCAATTTTATCATCTGAGACCCCCCACAACCTGTTACACCAGTCACTGAATCAGTCCATTTCATCGAGGGTCTTCCTCTCTTACTCTGTACTTCCACCTTTCCAAGCATGATGTTCTTTCCAAGCACTGGTCACCCCTTGCAACATGCTCAATGCATGTCAGACAAAGCTTCAAAATCTTTGCCTCCAAGGAACAGCCTGGTTTCACCCTCACTAGGACAGACCTGTTTGTTCTCTTACCAGTTCATAGTATATTCAATAGTCTTCTCCAGCATTACAACTCAAAGGCATCAATTCTTCTTCAGTCATCCATAGTGTCTAGCTTTCTGATGCAAAGCAAGTAATTGCAAAGACTATGGCCTGGATCAAGTGCACCTTAGTCTAAGATAATGATATCATTGCTCTCCAATACTCTGGAAAAGTCCCTGACAGCAGATTAAAAAAAAAAAAAAGAAAGAAAATTCTTTTATACTGGGTTAGACACATGACAGTAGATTTTCCCAGTGCAGTTCATCTTTTGATTTCCTGCTGCTTATACAAGAGTGTTGATTATGGAGCCAAGCAAGCTGAAGTAGTTAATAATCTCAATTTCTTCACCATCTATCATGGTGCTGCCAATTGACCTAGTGGTAAGAATTTTTGTTTTCTTGATGTTGAACTTCAATTCATATTGAAGGCTGAAATTTATTTATTTTTTTTGAGAAATCTCTTTTCCTCCCTTGTCCCCTATCTGCAAGCTACCTACAGATTCTTTCGCTTCACTTCATTTACTGATCATTTACATACAGGAAGCATAGCGTTCCATAATGGGAAAGTAATTTTGTTGATAGACATAGATATCCTATCTGCCCCCAAAATTTGCCTACATGTATTCATTCCTACTGTTTTACTTCGAAAAGTTCATTATTGTGTAGGTTATTTGGTGTGTATCATCTGCCCTCACATCAGGATTTATACAGGTAATGATTCCCTTGGCTCTCTTAATAGCTGCTTTTTATCATTAATCAGATGGCCTAATTAATGTTATCTGATCTGGAGCACTCATATTTTCTAATTTTCCTTGGGATAATAGGTTTCGTTATTACTGTGGGTGTATGTAACTTTAAACACTATGTCTTTTGACCTCCACATTAATGATAACTATCACTTATGTAAAGCTTTAAGATTAAATGATTATTTTTTTATGTTTTATTCACTCTTCATTTCCTCACTAAAATAAACAGTTATGATCATTCATAATTCCATTTCACCAGCATTCTTCAGTAAACAAGATAGACATGATTTCTACCCATTGGAATCTAGTTAATGGCAATGGGGTTTTAATTTGTTATAAGAGAGAAATAGATGCACAAATAAGGAGATATATCGTTTTGAGAAACCTGTAGCACAGAGATCTTAAGTGAGTTGGCCAAAGTCATGGTGAGTGTGTGATGGAGTCCATAAAGATGTGTGGTACAAAATGTCAAGTGAGAGGGGAATTTTTAAAGTCTTGAAAAACTGACCAAAGGCTTTGGATGTTTTTTTCTGTAGAGATTAGGAAACCATTGGAGGCTTTGCATTGATATAGTTATGTAATCAAAATATTTAGAAAGTTATTCCTGTAATAAAACCTCCTGCAGCTGAGTCAATTCCAACTCGTAGTAACTCTGTGGGATATAGTAGAACCGAGCCGTGGGGCTTCTTGTTGTTGGTCCTGGCTGTTGAATCAGAACCAACTCAGAACTGATCCGCCAGCTGAATTGCAGAGGCTGTAAAATCTTCAGGAGACTGCTCATTTTCCTCCCACCAAGCAGCTAATGCATTTAAACTGCTGGCTTTTAGGTTGGCAATGCAACTTCTTACCATAAAGTCACCAGAGTTCCCTCTATATGGCTTGTTGTTGTTATGTGTCGTTGAGTCACCTGCAATTCATAGTGACTCCATGTACAACAGCTCTGAAGTCTGCCCTGTCCTGAGTCAGTCTCACTGACTCTGAAACACCTACCCTCATTGCCCTCGTTACTATATCAAGCCATCTCATCTGGAGTCTTCTCCTGTGCTGTTCATCCACCCTTCTGTCTGAGCATGATACCTTCTCCAAGGATTGGTCCCTCCTGACCACATGCCCAAAGTGTATGAGATGGAGTTTAAAAAATCCTAGTCTTCAAAAAAACTGGGTATCATCCTCTCCAAGACAGACCTATTTTCTTGGCGGTCCATAGTATGTTCAAGGCTCTTCTCCAACACCACAACTCAAAACATCAATTCTTCTGTCATCCTTAGTCATTGTCCAGCTTTCTGATGCATAGCAAGTAATTGCAAAGGCCATGGACTGGATCAGGTGTACCTTCATCTCTAGACTGACATTGTTGCTTTTCAATACTCTGGAAAGATCCCTGACAGCAGATTTACTTAATCTAATTCATCTTTTGATTTCCTGACTACTAATGCCTAGAGTTTTGATTGTGGAGCCAAACAAACTATAACTGTTAACAACCTCAATTTCTTCTCCATCCATCATGGTGCTACCTTTTGGCCCAGTGGTGAGAATCTTTGTCTTCTTGATGTTGAGCTTCAATCCATATTGAAGACTCCAGTCCTTGACATTTTAGCAGCAAGTGCTATATGGCTAACAAGACTGTAAATTTGTGGACGCTGACTGACACATCTTTTTCCCTCAGAGCAGCTGCTGACTTTTCAGTTGACAGCCAAGCACTTAACCACTGTATCAGCATCCCTCTATTTTCATATATAGTGTGGTGCCAGTTAAATTAGTAAAGATGATAGAGATGTGGGACCAACTGGGATGCTGCTGGTACTCAGATGCAGAAAAGAAAGGTCAGAAATAATTGTGCAGAGCTCTGATGGCCTAGTGGCAAGAAGCTATATTGCAATCCCAAAGGCACGTGGTTCGAGACCACCAGTTGCTTCGTGGGAGAATGGGCAGTCTCTTCCTGTACAATTAACAGCCTCTGAAAACCCTCCATAGAGTCAGCTATGGGTTGGTTCTGACTGTATGGTACCACACACACACACACACACACACACACACGTACACACGTTCTGGAAGGTGATCAACAGAAGAGACACTGAAATGGGAAAGGGGAGGGACTTAGTAACTGGCAACTACGAGAATTCCAACAGGAGACATCTTTCTTCAAATGAAGTTTGACGTTTCAGATGGCAGGAAAAGCCTTGTTATAACCATGGGGAACAGCAGGGATTTAAAGAGCATCAGTTAGTCCTTCTTATAAGAGCATATCTTTGATGGTTCTCTTAAGAGTTTTCCCTAAAGCCAGGGATGATGCCCTTTCCTGTCTCTTCCCTAACAGAGCTATTCTTCATAGGGCTTTGTCTACTCTGATGTGTCCCAAGAGAAGGCAGAATGCCCATGTATTTTAAATTATGAGAAAATGAAGCCAAGATCCTTATTGAAAGCGGGTGCTTGCCTGCCGGTAGGATGTTACAGGTGATGATAACTTAAGTGTGAATGTCGTATGTCTTGACTGCTGACCACCTGGGTTGTTCCCTAGGCTTTTTTTGTTGACCACAATTCTCGTGCCACCACTTTCATCGACCCTCGGCTCCCACTTCAGAGCAGCCGGCCCACGAGCGCTTTGGTCCATCGGCAGCACTTGACCCGGCAACGCAGCCACAGTGCGGGTGAGGTGAGTCACTTGTCTCGGGCCTGTCCTGTGGCTTGTTGGGCTCAGGGTGAGATGATAGGATGTAAATGAGGATATGGCGGTTTGTGGAATTATTTGGGGTTTTTATTGTTCTTTTAATTTTTTTTTTTAACCTGTAATTTGATGAAGAGATTAGAAGGCTGAAACGTTTTGGAATGTTAGCAGGCTATCTCTAGAAACACACACATTGGATATAAAATTGGATATTTGAGGAATTTTTGAAGAAATTAGGGATTATTTTTTTCTATTTTTTCCCTTTTAAACACAGAGTATGGAGAGATAGAAAATGTAATATATTGTTTCAGAGATGATGATGGTGATAAGTTTTTCTGCTTCCACCCAAGGACAAATTCATAGGAAGAAATGAATGCAACTTTTCTTGTTGTTGTCGAGTACGACTCATGTTTCTTAAGTGGAATGTTGAATTAGATTAAAATAGTGGGATAAGAAGTTAGAACATCTTTAACTAGCACTATTTAAAATTAGGATATATCTAGTGTTGTTAGTAAACTTTTGTCCTCAGAGTGACCAAGCAAAAAAAAAAAAGGCTAAATTAATTCTAACTTTGTAAATAAATCAGTATAAAATTTAAAAATGTTTTTTAAAAAGAACTAATGAATTCTACTTTGCCTGTTGCAGTACCCTGTGGTAGCCACATGAGGGCTCTCTAATATATACGTACTAACACACACAAAATCGCTTCCTGTTTCACTTTGTCCTTCAGCATAAATAAATAATGTGTGTGTTCACATTTTTTTTCCTTAATATGGGCTTGTTTTAAAGGTAAATCATTGTTTCATGTCCAGTTTATTAAACAGTCCTTTCATTAAACAGAATTAAAATTCTTTTCCTGCATGTCTTTTCAATGTCTCTGCATAGCATATATTCAATATCATATCATAAATCAAAGCTCTTTATAGCCTGTATTATAAAAAAATTATGAATGCAATAAATAACTGGATTTGATTAATCAAAATTCTACTTTTGGAATTTCCCTTCATGATTTAAATACCTGCTTTACTGCGTCTTATATATTTGCTGGTTGTAAGCGCACACATAGAAAAACATGCACGAGAAGCTCATATAAAAATGATATATAAATGTACTGCAGGGTGAAGTATGCAAAAAAATATTTATGTTTTATGAGTAACTACTAAATCTTTACCTTGCTGCCATAGAGACTATTAGCAGTGAACAGCGTAATGTTAGCAGGATTTGCCCTCACAACAGAACAGGCCTCTCACCTTTGGACCTGATGTGTGATGCGTAGCCTCGTCACCGCCCTGTCTGGCATTATCACATAGCTAGTGTTCTGAGCTGCTCCCTTTATCTTGACTTCACAGTAGGAAGACTCAGGTCTAGTCAGGACTCCTTTTCTGAGAAAACTTTCTTTCAACTATCTCCCTCAAAACAGAGTTCCTTTCATAGCCTCCTACTGGTCTACGGTACTAAGATAGTGGTCTAGAGAACCTAAGATAAATAGTAAAACTCGAATGAGGACGTCTCCTCACATTCGTGAAGACAGATGGAGAACTTGGAGATGCTTCCATGAAGACACAGCTTTCAGCTCCTGCGCCGTCACTTTTTCGGGCCCAACCGTGGGAAGCATGGACACCTTGCCCCTCTACCCACACTTATCCAGGGAATTCCCCCACTGTCTGACAGTCTGGTTTGAAGAACTGAGATCTCTTAGAGACCTTCAGTTGTTCTGGGAAATGATGACACATTGTAATGTACTGACAGAGGGAAAGTATATGTTGATGTACCAAAACGATAAGTCCTCTGACTGACAAACAGTGTTTAGTTAATGATTGAATCTCTCCAGAAAGTAGCTGGGCTCATGACTCAAAGCCAGTAACTCAATAGGAAGAAGGAGAAAGCTCGTAGGTCTGCCTCCCCCTTCGACTCGTTCAGCAGGTATCTCAGTTAGTAAAAATAATGCTGCCTCACCCATCCAACAGATTAACATTTACCCAGTGCTTAATATACAAAGTTCTGGTTGGTGGTATTAGAGATACAAACAAATAGCATGTTGTTCTTTTGCTCTACTTCTTGTTGTTGTTAAGTGCTGTTGAGTCAAGTAGGACTCATAGCGAACCTGTGAACAATGGATCTGAACTCTGTCCTATCCTGAGCCATCTTATTATCCTTGACACATTTGAGTCCATTTCACTAAGGGTCTTCCTCTCCTTCTCTGACCCTCCATCTTTCCAAGCATGATGACCTTTTCCAAGAAACAGTCTCTCCTAACGTCCAGAATATGTGAGATGAAGTTTCACCATCTTTACCTCCAAGGAACACTTTGGTTGCACTTTCTCCACGATATATCTGTATGTTGTTTTGACTGTCCATGGGATTCTACTAGAGAGGTAAACTATGGAGGTAATCATGATAGACATGAATAAAAATGTGAGTGAAAGCTCTCTACTCCTCCTTGATCAACAGATAGCCTTCTTCTCATGCAGCCTCAGCCACATCACTGAGATATGATGGTGAAGGTCCAAGTAAAAGGATTTGACCGCATTGGATGTCTGGTCCTCTGAGCTGCTTTTAACTCTGGCAAAGTGGATGTTATTGCCATCAATGACATCTCCGTGTTACAGTATGATTGCCATGTCCCATGACAAGTTCAGTGGCATTGTGAAGGCCAAGAATGAGAAGCTTTGCATGAGCAGGAAAGCCATCACTGTCTTCCAGAAGTGAGATTCCCACCATCAAGTGGGGTGATGCTGGTGCTGAGTGTGTTACTGCTGAGAATCCACTGGTGTCTTCAAATCTTGGAGAAGACTGGGGCTCACTTGAAGGGTGGTACCAAGTGGGTAATCAACTTTGCTCCTTCTGCCACTGCCCCCAGGCTTGTGATAGGCATGAACCACAGGAAGTGGAACAGCTCTCTCCAGATTGTCAGCATTTCCTCCTGCATCACCAGCTGCTTGGTCCCCCTGGCCAAAGTCATCCATGACAACTTTAGCATCTTAGGAAGATGCATGACCCTGGTCTATGCCGCTCAGGGACTGTAGATGGCCCTCTCCGGAATGCTGAGGCCTGATGGCCATGGAGCTTCCCAGAACATCATACCTGCGACTGTTGGTGCAGCCAAGGCTGTGGACAAGATCATCCCAGAGCTGAAGGGGAAACTTACTTGTTTTCCATGTCCTCACCCTCATGTGTTAATAGTGGATCTGACCTGTTGTCTGGAGAAAGCTGCCAGATATGGTGACATCAATAAGGTAGTAAAGTAAGCATGAGAGGGGCCTCTAACGGGCGTCCTGGGATGCACTGAAGACCAAATTGTCTACTGTGACTTTAACAGTGACACCCCATTTTTCCCCTTTGATGCTGAGGCTCACATTGCCCTGAAGGACCACTCATTGCCTGGTATGACTGTGAATTTGGCTATAGCAACAGGCTGATCGACCTTATGGTTCACATGGCCTCCAAAGAGTAAGAACTCCCCTGGACTTCTAACAATGGCACTAGAAGAGAGAGAGACGTTCAGCTACTTGGGAGTCCTAGCCCCAACTTGGTCACCCCCCACCACGCACACATACTAAGAATCTCACATCCTTGACACAGTTTCCATCCAGTTCCCCTGAGAAAGGGGAGGAACTTAGCAAGCCATCTTGTCATGCACCATCGGTAAAGTACATTGTACTCTGAAACCAGAAAATAAAAAGAGAGGGGAAAATACAGACTTCTTAAGGACGGCTGCTTTTAAAATGCATATGAAGGGCTGAGGGAGTCTGGAGAAGGTCACATTTCATTTCAGTTAAAGGAAAGGGAAGGCCGCTCTGAGGAGATACTCCTTGAACTGAGCTCTGAAGAATGAGTGAGGACATTTTTGAAGGCTAAGCAAGAAGTAGAAGGAGAGACTTATAGTTTCAGGCCCTTGAAAAAATCCTACCCAAATTCCTAAAAGGATGTCTTAGGAGAAAGTGGTTGTGAAGATTTCTAGAAGAAGCTCTGGTTTGTGTGTTGTGTTGTTTTCTTTTTTTTTTTTTTTTTTACCTTTTATACCACCCTTCTATGTCTGTCTTAAAAGATTTCTCTAACACACAGGGGAGAAAAGCTACAACAGAAGCTAGATCAATGATAGACTTTTCTAGTAAGAATATTAATGGGGTTTGAGGTTTGTGTATTTGTGTGTGTGTATTTCTAAATCTATTATGGAGACAATAAATAATTCCAGTTAAGGCAACCCTATTTAGCTCCTCCACCTGCTGCTATTAGCTCCCTGGTGTGGGAGGCTCAAAACCAGAAAGAGCTGTTGTGCTGGGTGCTCTAATAGGCGTGTAAGATTGCTTCTAAGGAGATAATACACCTACAGAGAAGCCTGTGTGAAGATTGCAGTCCTTCCACCCTCCTCTGCTGAGGCAGGGAATTCCTAGGCCTGATGTGGCCTAAAGAAGGACTATCGAGGCACTGAAGCATTGCCCAAATACGTTTTATGACTCCCTCTTATCCTCTTTGCCCAGTTCTCCTTTTAAATGTAATATCATTACATATTTCTGTTTTGTTGATACAGAAGCTCTTCAGCCAATCTGCTGTTTAGCTGCTCTAACAGACATATTCAGCTCCTTCTGTACCATTTGGTAAATATTCACACACTCAGCCCCCATCTCAAATGAACTGCCCTGGTCTCTGTTCCCTCAATCCAACATTAGAAAGCAGGACTATTAAGAGAACTTGACTGCAGCTCCACTGCAAGTATCTGCTCTCTGATTGTTGCTCGTTAAGTATTTTGAAGAAGTTCTTGGTGCAGACCATATCATGCTGTTCGTGTTTGTAGGTAGGAGAAGACTCCCGCCATGCAGGACCGCCGGTTCTCCCCAGGCCGTCCAGTACGTTCAACACTGTCAGTAGGCCGCAGTACCAGGACATGGTTCCAGTGGGTACGTCATCCCCTTCCAGAAAGTTTTATCTTTGCTTCTCATGCCGATGTGTTCATGCATACTGTGCTACTTTACTGTTGTCAGTCTGCCACTTTTTTGGTCTTATAGTGAAAAACTATTGCATTATTTTTAAGACATTGATAACAAAATCCTGGAGATCTGAATCTCACAGGGCTTCTCTGTCCAGTAAGACTGCTCTCCACCTTCTCTCAACACTCACTTGTTGCACTCAAGGAAGAATAACTATTTAAGGTGCTCTGGTGGCCTAGTGGCAAGAAGCTGCACTGCAATCCTAGAGTTGTGCAGTTCGAATCCACTAGATGCTCTGCCAGAAAAGGAGGGACAATCTCCTCCTGTACCAGTCTGATCCAATTTGATGGTGGTGGTTGTTATGTGCCGTCGAGTCGCTTGCAACTCATAGCGATCCTATGTTCAACAGCCCTAAACTCTGCTCTATCCTGTGCCAATCGCACTGTCTCTGACACATCCATCCTGATTACCTGTCTCTGAATCAATCCACCTCATAGAAGGTCTTCCCCTCCTGTGCCTGCCCTCCACCCTTCCAAGCATGATGTCCCTCTCCAAGGACCGGTCCCTCTTTACAACATGTCCAAAGTATGTTAGACAGAGCCTCAGAATCCTTGTAATTTAATAGCACACACACAAAATAATAATAAAAAAATTTTTTTAGAAAAAGAATAACTTATTAAAGTGTTTGTACCATATGGCCATGCAAATTAAGCATTTGAACTGTCATATACTTCATATATTCTTATGGCTTACAATGGAATTTAAATGGTGTGTAAATTTGTAGAAGCCTCACAAAATAAGCAAGCAAGGATTGGTAGTGTTAAGGGGGTTTATAACAGATGAAGGCTTTACAAAAACCTCAGAAACAGTGAAGTCAACACACCTAGCAAACACTTAAGCTGTTGTTAAAATGATAGAGTTGAAGTAAATTAGGGGTTTTCACTCTAGAGGCCTCAAGGCCGAGGAAGAGGTCAGACCTGGGGCCAAGGTGTGTGGGTTTTATCTTGATTGAAACAGTTTTCCATTTGTCTAAAACTTTTCACTTCTTAAATAAACTTTACCATGAGGTATAATATAATATTCATGCCTTAAAGACATTTTTAAAACTAGATAAGAAAATTAACGGGGTTGACATCTAACTATCTGAATTTTACATCAGTGGTAACATGATAGTCAACCCTGTACAAAGAGTTTTAAGGCACTCTAAAATTGTTGCATAAGAATTTGTCCTTCTCTGATCTTGACTAGGAATAATCTCACTGAGAAGACTTCTGTTATAAAAGTCTTTTTATTATATCATGGTGAAATATGCCATTGGGGCCCTATGAGTTGTCAGTAAGGTTCTGTGCTAGCATATTTTTAAAATACTTACTTATAAATATTTTATTGAACATTTAACTAAAATATTCACATTACATCTCCAAATTATACTTCCTTAATCATCTGTGAAGGCACCTTGGTGATGGGATAGTTACGTGTATGCAACTGCAAATTGAAAGCTCAGGTTCAAACTCACTCCATAACTCTCTGGAAGACAGACATGATCTGCTCCCTTAACAATTGTTGGTTGTTGCCTTGACTCGACCATGACTCATAGTGACCCTTTGAACAGCAGACCTAACTAAACACTTCCCCATCTTGCAGCAGCCCCACCATCTCTGCTATACCGGAGCCCATTGCTCCAACCGCTGAGTCAGTCTGTCTTCCTCATTTCACTCACCCTCCCCTTTCTCCAAGGACTGGATTACAGCCTACAAAACTCTATGAGTAAGTTCTGCTCTCTCCTCTGAGGCTGCTGCACTGGAATTGATTTGCTAGTACCCAACAACAACTACAACATTTGTTAGTTCAAGAACACCATATATTTTTGGCATTTATCAGCAGAGAAGTGTTGACTGATCCAGAATCCCTGATGTTTGAGAATCCAGACACTCAGTCTTAGTTTTGTAATAGAAATATGTCTTTGTTTCTGGTGATAATATCATCAACATGAAACACCTTAAATAAACTAATTTTCATGCCAAAAAAGTTTAAACAGAGATCTTTCTTAATGCATTTTAATTAGCTGGTTTTAAACATTGATGGACATAAATCAGCCATTAACTTGGATAATTTTGTTTTTAACATGTGCTGTGCTTAATTGATGATGCTGGTTGAGTGGCAGCAGATAGTATAATTGCTTTAGTAAAGGCCAAGGCATGACCTAGTAGTATTTCCACATAGAGTTTGGCAATGCTTTGTCTTCTGTCTGCGTTATAGCTCTTGGTGGCAAATGCTGCATTTTGCTGACTCTTGAAAACCCTTTGAGGTAGTTTACTTCTGCCTCTTAACCTTTCTGGCCGGCTATCATTTAATAAAAGATAATTTTCCATTTCTGGCAATTACTTGGGAGATTGATTTCGTAAGTAGTTGCTTTAAACAGTATCTTGAATCTTGTTGATAATCTCATATTGTAATTTGATAATTATGACTCATCACATGACTTTAATAAAAATGTTTATGTGAATAACATGTCAGAGATCTAAGTCCCAAAATTATATAACAAGCTAGACACATTAGAATGATACCATTTGTAGTAGTCCAAACTAGATCTTTGAGTATAAAAAATACTAACCAGAAAAATAATTTTGTTCTATATCACAAATATATGTTGTTGTGTATCACTGAATCAGAACCAACCCATAGCTGACCCTCCCATGGGAGATTGCCCATCCTTCTACTGCAAAGCAGCTGGTGGATTTGAACCACATGACTTTGGGATTGCAACACAGCTTTTGCCACTAGGCCACCAGTGCTCCCTATAACAAATATAGTCATATACATAAGACTAATCTTTCTGTTCTGATTATTTTCTTTTCTGATTGTCATTTTTCAGCTTACAATGACAAGATTGTTGCATTTCTCCGTCAGCCCAATATCTTTGAAATTCTACAAGAACGTCAACCTGATCTTACCAGGAATCACTCACTCAGGTAACCATAATGTTTGTGTTTGATTCGAGTGACATCAGCTCAGCCATTAAACCTTAACACTGATAATCACCTTGGAAATTTATCCTTGCTCTCTCACATTCTGAATAAAGGCATCTTGTATGCAAATATTTTAAGACATCAACAGCACTTGCACCAGATCGCTGTATTCCTATCTTCTCTCTATTAAATATAAGGATAATATCAGATAAACTAAACAATCTACAGCCTGCCTTAAAGGAGAAATATAAAAAGAAACAAAATTTTGCATCCAAGACTCATCCTAGAGATACATATTATGATGAAATAGTAAGACATGAACCTTTTTGAGGGGAGCTTAAAGAAACAAAAGCAACATCGAGTTTATTGAATTGAGGTTTCTAAAAATCCTAGACTTGATATTCACTTTTTTCCCCATAATGAAAACACGACTGATCCTCTGTAGGGAGTCTGATCCTCTCTGTAGTCCAGCATTGCCTCATGTGAACTCTTTCTTCTAAACAACTTCAGCACATCATGCTTCTAACTCGGTTTTACTTTCCTGACTACGTGCTCTTCCTCTTTGGCAGATTTTCCTAAGTTTGACAAGGGAATTCTTTCTAAAACCTAGTGCAAGCGCCCCTTCTTTGAAGCCTTTCATTGGGACCATACTCACTCTAGTATTTCTTTTCTTTCTTTTTTTAATTTTACACTGACTTATTTACAAAGTTTGAATACATTATTTTTCATACAAGATCTTTCACATTTCCTTCATACACATGCTGACCCATCAAATTGTGTGATCCTACTATTAACCCTCCACGCCCATCCTCACCCCTCTGCTTCCACCCTCATATTCCTTCTACAATAATGGTTTCTAGTATTTCTAATAGTGGATTAATCTTTCTCAACTTCTGCATGCTAAACATCAGTAGGGATGGAAAAATTGGAATTTCCACTGAAATGCTATATAATCCAAAGCCTTTTTGGTTAGACCCTTGCTGGTAGAAGTATGTTTGTCCAGTGGGTCCATAGGCATGACCTTAAATGCTGGTCTACTTGGTTATACCAAGTTGGTTTCATCAGGATCACTAAGGGAAAAGTATGTAGCAGAGAATAACAGGCCTCACCTCACCACCTTCTTAAAAACTCTCCATGTCAGGGAGCTCTGGTGGCCTAGTAGCAGAAAGCTGCACTGCAATCCCAGAGGTATGTGGTTCGAATCCACCAGATGCTTTACTTGAGAAAGAGGGGCAGTCTCCTCAAGTACCAGTCAGATCCAATTTGACGGCACACACACACACACACACACACACACACACAAATTTATAAAACAAAACAAAACTTCTACAACTCTCCATGTCATTCTGATTGTCCTGCCAAGTTGATGACCTTTGTTTAGATAGTATTTGACAATTAATCATGTATTAGGGTTCTATAAGTCGCAAGCAACTCAACAGCACATAACAATAACATGGATGATCTTCCTTTCTACTTTTTTGAGTATTTGACTTTTGTGTTTTTTATTTTCCAATTACACTAAAGCCTCTTATGGCAGGAGATCATCACAAACTCATTCTTTCTCCTCCTCATTGCTTATATATGTTGTTGTTCTTCTTGATGTTATGTACTGTCAAGTCAGAAACAACTCATAGCTGACCCTCCAGCGGTTTTTCAGAGGCAGTTAATCACATGGGAGGAGATTGCCCCTCTTCCTCCTGCAGAGCAGCTGGTGGATTTGAACTGAGTACCTTCAGATTGGCAGCACAACTCCTCACCACTAGGCCACTAGAGAAATTCATACATATTTTTATGTACATATAAGTTCATTTGAAAATAAATTACAAGCTATACTTCTTGTGATAGTCTCTGAGATCTTTAAAATTGCCTTTATCCTTAAAAGTTTCTAAAAGCTGAAGGCTGGGGGTTGGAACCCGCTGGGTGAGAGACCTGGTAATTTTCTCCCATGAAGAGGGCATCCCCTGAGGTTACTTTGAGTAGAAAACAAACTTGACAGCACTCAGTAACAAGATTAAAGGTTCAAACTGGACAGAGTTTCTAGAATAATGTAGATAGTCCCAGCATCCTGTGTATGGGAATCCCATGGTTTCATGTGGTCAGTATCTTGCCCAAGTCCTAGTGCTGACCCTGACAGGCATGCTTTTCTCTAGGACGCAGTCACACCTACCATCATTTTACACTGGGGCCTAGTTTAAGGCATTCACTTAGTAATCCATGGTCCCTGCAGAACCTTGTGAAAGAAATTCTAGTTACTAAAATTGTAATTCAGTGAATAAAATTGCTTTCTGGTGATTTAAACAGCACTGTTGGGCATCTGGGCCTCTAAACAAAATTCAAGAGAGTTCTCATAGCCTAGTAGAAAGGAGCTTACAATTGCCAGTTTGAAAGTGCATGGTTGGAATCCACCAACTCTCCTTCACTGAGATTTACTGCCCCTGAAAACCCGCTGGAGAGTCAGCCATGAGTTGATTCCAACTCAATGGTACATAACAACAAGCAAAATTTAAGCAAGCCATGTTCTCCCCTGTCTATTAATCACAAAATAAGGAGAATCCATTTTCTCCTTCTATCTGCTCCACTCCCAACATAAAACATGTTTGCAGTTCAAGTCCAAGTTTGTTGTTCTCCAACAAAAAAATTATAAAAGAAGAAAGCAGAAATTTGAGAAACTTTTCATTTCTTGTCTGCGCTCTACATTATACTTTAAAATGATTAGCATACCTTCAAATCTCTGCTATCAGAGATTGGATGAGTTAATCGTCCTGAACAGAGCATCCAGCCTTCCCGTTTTCCCTTAATGACTTCACAGATCCAAACAAAGGGCAAAGCTGTGACCCCAGCTGGTAGCTTACAGTTTTATTTTACTTTTTCTTGTGTTTTTTTCAGTCTCTAGTTTAAGTTGTTGTTTTCGTTGTTGTTAAGTGCCGTTGAGTCGTAGATGACTCGTAGAGACCCTATGAACGAAAGACCTGAATAGTTGTATAACTTTCATCGTTTCTCCAAGTTCATAGAGTTTCTGGAGGCAAGCTCTTTCAGAAGTGGGCCATCAGGGCTCCTTTTGAATTGTGGCGATGGAGAAGACTGAATATCTCCTGGACTGTCAAAGAGCAAACAAATCTGTTCTGGAGGAAGTGCCTTGAGTATATGGCTTGGAGCTCTTTCAGAAATTCCTGCAGAATTTTACTTTTCAGGGACACTTGTGGTCTTCAGTTATGTGCAGTTGTTCGTATAACATAGTCAGCTTTTGCTAATTGTATGAAATGTGTTTCTGTTTATACTTTCACAACAATTTATAGAATTTAACCACAGAAGGTATATGCAGCCATGACCAGGAAAAAAAGTAGGAACTTAAATGAATGAGATAATACTGTTCCTCTTACCCAGAAAGATTGCCAACAGTGCCCTCATTCTCTGAAAAGTTTTGTTGTTGGGTTTTTTTTGTCGATAAGCGTTTTGCTTAGCATAACAATGAAAAAGAGAAGTTTGTATGCTTAAGAGAACATTCTGTTCTGTTCATATAGTTAAAAACTGCCTTGTAAGGACCATTCCCACAGATGCAGCAGTGAAGAAATCAGCTGGAGTTCTCTGATCTCAAATTTCAGGGATGTTTTTGAGAACTAATTTATGCATGGAGCCCCTGAGTAATCCACGTGTCAGTCAGAGTTAACTGAAGACCTCACGTGCATATCCTGGGGAAGGGTTCTCAGTACCATCACACATTCAACTTCGTCTGTGGCACAGCCACTTAAGAGAAATACTCCTCCTTATTTTGGCTATAATAAAAAAAGTGGAAGTCATCTGGTCCCCACTGGACCCTCATCATTTCCTTCACCTGCTCCCCCCACCGACCAAACTGTGCAGCTCTGCAACTGCATCCTGGCCCATCCTCACCCTTCTGCCCCCAACCCTCACCTCCTTGTACCCCCAATATGTTTTTCCCAATAAAAAAAATATTAAAAAAAAGTGGAAGTCATTGAGAGATTCACGTAGGTAAATTATAAACTTTATCTCTGGCTTATTTTGTTTGTGACTCTTTCTAAACTTGACAACAGCAATCAGTTCATTTAGATTTTATTCTTGCATATCTCCTCTTGTTTGAGATTCTGTCTGTCTCTTCCTACAGAATGAATATGATTTCCCATGCAGTAAGGTCATGGTTTCACTCCCAGTTGTGCCATTTAAATAACTGTGCTCCATAATTTCAACTGCCCTGTTCTTTTGTTGTTGTTGCCTTCAGTCTCGGAGGTCATTCCTTTCCCTAACTTCAAAACCCAATATCTGAGACAGAGTCACCTCTGTCAAATAAGTTGTAGCTCCTCTGGATTTCTGTGTTCTGCTCCTGGTTCTCAGTGAAAGACAATAATCACATCAAGACAAACTTGAATGCTGTGATGGTAAAATAAAATATACTGATATTTCAAATGGACATAGACAAATAACATTGTAAACAACTGCTTGAGTATGCTTTAGGTGAGTTTATGCATATAAAATCATGATTACCATGTATCAACAGGATTTTTTTATATTGGTATTTCTACAATAAGGAGCTCTGGTAGCATACTGTGTCATAGTGTATTATAGTATATTGTGTTGCTAACCAAAAGGTCAGTGGTTTAAATTCACTAGTGATCCTTTCAAGTGGAAAAATGCACCATTTCCTCTCAAAAATTTACAGTCTCAGAAATTCTCAGGAGGGTTGCCAGGAGCTGGGTTCAACTCAGTGACAGTAGGTTTGAATTGTACAGAGTTGAATTCTTAAATAGGCTTAAGTATCATAAAATTGAATTAAATATGGGGAAAATGTTATTAGATCATTGTTGTTATGTGTCACCTAATCACCAGTGACTCATCGTAGCCCTGTGAAACCCTGCCGCGTCTTGCTCCATCCTCACAGTCTATTCCATACCTAAGCCTGTTGCTGCAGTCGCTATGTCATTCCGTCTTGTGGAGGGTCTTCCTCTCTCTCTCAGGCCTTCCATCTTTCACAGCACAGGTCTCTTTCC